TAGTTTTTCCAATGCTTAATACCTACCTATTCATAATTTATTACTTTATGTCCCGCTCACGATCWCATATTATCTATGTCAATTCATGCCATGAAATAATAATAATAACCAATTATCAAATATTATAGATTATAGATCCTTATAGTATATATTATAATATGAATAGACCACGACTRTGGGGCACATTTATAGTAGGTATGTCTATGGGCTCGAGGTCATAATAATACCTAATTAATTATTGGTTTGTGGTTTGATAATCTTGTTTCACAATATGATTTAATTTATACCTACCTATAATCGATCTATAACTATAATCGTGTTCACATTAAAAATGTAACACACTAGAATTTCTTATCTTAAGTCCTTGCTTATAATATTACTGTTAAAAATTAATGAATATAAATTACAAATAATTTATCATATATTTACCTTGAATTATGCAAATATATAAATTATATAACTTACTAGAAATTTCTGTACTCTACACTACGGCCAGCAAACGAAAAGAAAGATATCGGGTAAGAAGCACACGCCCCATAACCCCCTTATTTGTCTACGTTGCTGGGTTGTATATATCTGACTATAACGTCCCGTTAAAAGRTATGGTTCTTGTAGCGCGATAAGCCTAATGGGACCTAAAAAGGAAACGATCCCCTAGCCTCTGTTTGATTTTTCTATTAAACGGTAGTGTGCGATTTATAGTACAGATATTTTACCCATTTACTCATAATGTCTCTTCATAAAAGTGACGAAATCTTAAATGATATATTCAGTGTTGATATAGATTCACGTATAATTTTGATTCGTTAAATTACAATCATATGTAATACATTACTGTAATTTACACCCATTGAAAGATTTTTACCGGCATGTTGCATTGGTAATTTTTAGCCGCCAAATTAATGAGGGTCGTTTTTATTGTTAACAATTTAACAATTGTCTTGGGCTGGAGGGTCATTCAAAGTAAACCTTTATTGAAATTTAATGGAGTTTGTATTTAACAATGTCCTATATACAAATAAGTGTTATTTGTAAAATRTCCGACAACTCTAGACAAACACCTTCGTGTATCGTGTAGTCTTTCGTATATGCGCGATCGATTCTCCGTCTAAAGGATAATATATAAAAAATGCCGTTTAACTTCATATACATATTATAATGCAAACAGATTATTGGAATTTAAAAAATCACGAACGACATATTATTGTGAAAAAATT